TGGGAAGTCTTATGGGGTTTATAGGGTTTAGGGTTTATAGGGTTTAGGGTTTATAGGATTATAGGGTTTATAGGGTTTACAGGGTTTATAGGGTTTACAGGGTTTATGGGGTTCTTAGGGTTTAGGTTTGAGATTTTCATGAGGGCTTTATAAGGTCTCGTGGTGTTTCGGTGGATGGGATTAGAATCGTCTGGACTCTTGTTCTGCCTGAAGTTCCCTTCAAGGCAACATCTCCTTATGGATCGTGCTTCAAACCCCCAAGCCTAACTCCAGGTGCGACGCATTCATGTTTGAAGCTCTCCTTAACATAACCATACTGTATTAAACCTCAAACCCCCTCTTGGTAACTATTGAGCCCCTGTAGATCGAAACCTCGAATTCCTGAATGCAGCTGGCGCCACCCAGTGCCACCAAAATGGAAGACCTCCAGGGATTGGGGATCGAATCTGAGCTCGGAGAAATAGTATAGGGTGCTGGAGAACTCACTAGGAATTAGAGTTTAGGGTTTATAAGCTTTAGGGTTATAATACTATGAGAAGAGTCACAGTGTAACATAATTCCAAAGCCTACTCTACGACTGGATTCCTTTGACAAAGGTTTGGGCATGTTGGGGCTCTAGCAACCTCGACACTCCAGGTGAGCTTCGGAAACGGACGAGGGTGCCCTAGTGCAGCCTAGATCGCCGGATTCTGTCAAAACAACCGTGACCACTAAACCCAAGCTCCCACGCAAAACAAGGAGGACCTGATGGCAAATCTACCGCACTCTAATTAAATTCATGCTGGTCTTATCCCTTGCGGTCTCTATGTCTATAGTGGGACGTCGGGCCCCTGATAGCCTCAAGTTCCCCTTTCAATCTTCAGACACAAGCCTGGTACAGATCAGCCCTTCCGCCCAGAATCCTGAAGCTCCAAAGCCCTTTTGTTTGGAGGGGCTGCCGTGCACGTGCAAACCTCCAGAACCTATAAGACCGAAACCCCTGAAGCTTGATCTTTCCTCATAACCTGAATCCGAAACCCTTACACCCACATAGGGGACCCTGATATAAAACCCCCCATCCCCACCCCCAAACCTCACGGCACGGCGCGCCTTCAGATGCTGCGCCCGCTTCAGCTCGCCGCGCACACCTTGCGGGGCTTTTGGCGTTGCATTATAATTCAGGAATTTCATGTCCTGTTTCAGTGCATTAGGGAATTGACTACACAGATTCTTCTGGAGGGATCTTCACGGTTGATGAGACGATGGCTCGAGACGGTTTGGCCGTTCCAGGTTGAGGATGTAGGTCAGGGCTGTCTAGGGTCTACCGCTTTGAAGCTTCCCGGTTCGTGGTCAGGATTTTAAGTAGCAGGCATTAAGATTCTGCAGGTTACGATTCTGCAGGCGTAGAGGTTGAGGCGTAGAGCTTTGGCTCTGAAGTGGTGGTTGGAGCCTCTTATGCCTACTGACTGGGAATCAAACTGGCAGGCAAGACGAAACTCCAAAGATTGAACCCTGGACCATAAAGGCCAGTGTAAGGCTCTGCGAATAATTAAAGCGTGGAGCTTATGATCTAAAAAAGTGCCTCAGTGACTAGAAGACGTTGTTGTAGGTCATGTTAATAGGGCTTTTTGTCTGGAGAATGCATAGTGCGGACTATGCTAGGGCCTACCAGGGAGTATAATTACCATAACAAGCATTATGCCTAACTGATCCGCATTTCAACCCCTATCTTAAACCAAGCTAACCTGGCCAACGCTTCATCTTTCTCGTCTGACCAACAACCAACGAGGCTCGCGGCTCACGCACTGAGCATTTACATTTTCTGCAGAACCGGACGGTGTCAGGGTCAAAAACAGCCGGTTGGAGAACCTGTTCAACCTTGCGATTCAACTCCCGGGCGTCCAGGGCGCGCAGAAAGGCGCAACATGGAGCGCTCACTGGTTTCAGGTACACTAACCAAGTTTTCTGCCGGGCCTGGTGGCTTCAGGTGTGCACTTACCGTCTGCTGAAAAAGGAAAGAAGGCTCAAAAAACGCCCCCCTATTATTTGCTGGCGAAAGACTCTGACGCTTCCCCTTGATGACATCCGACTTCTGCAAGGACTTTACCTGGGCTGCGGGGCATAGGAGCCTGGGTTTAAGGGCACGCGGCTGGACGGAGGATCTATGGCTGCGACCGGAGGAAGGCTCCCCAAACCGCCCAGTGCCATTTCAGCGCAGGACTGTTTGAGTCTGAGGGAAACCTTACCATGACATCCGGCTTTTTCCCAAAAAAAACCGCCATAAGCAGCTAGAGGGATCCGAGTTCTTGGTATAGGCCCTCAGTGGAAGACAGGAGGCACACCAATCCGAGAGCCTAGATCTGTTGAAGGGGCCTCAAGAATTAGACCAGGGCTTAGGGTGTAGGTTTCATGAGGGCTAAGGGCATTGAAACCCTAAACCCAAAACCCTAAACCCTAAACCCAAAACCCAAAACCCAAAACCCTAAACCCTAAACCGTGAACTACAGCTCTAAACTCGGCTACAAAAACCAGGACCTTGGGGTCGTCGGCCTCAGCGCCTATACCGGAAGTCCGTTGAGTTCTGGGGTTCCCTCATGCGCTTCCCTAAGCTGCCAGCACCCAAAACCCTAAAAACTCGACACCAGAAATCCGAAACTTAGGGTTCTTTAGGGTTTAAGAGCCCTGCTTTGAGGATCAGCTGCAAGCTTCACGACTTTCTTGTCCAACTGCCGCAGATCAGCATGCATCTGGATCTGGTCCTAGAATCAGAGCTGCACTCGCTCCACACGATACTACGAGCTTGTAGCAATGTAGAGTGGGATCTCGAGCCAGGTGGTGTACTTCTGGCCACTATTCGTGAGCAACGAGCGAAGGCAGGTCGACCAGGATCAGGAGTTCTCTGGAAGAATGTTGAAGTTTCGGGTTTAGACGCTGCTTTTCTATGCCTTGTAGCCACATGTGCATCCTCAACCCGCCTTCTGTCAAACGACTAATGTAGGGGCCTTAATAATTGGAATAGGTTCCTTATTACAATTATAGTATAATATACCCCCCAAACCCTATTCTAACTATTAAGGCCCTTTTCTACCCTCCCCAACCCAAGCCCTCAACCCGAAGCCCAAGACATAACTCCCATAACCCTGATTTCTTAGCGGCTGAGCACCCTAGCCCAAGAGAAACAGCGTTAGCCTGGTAGTCGTGGTAGGCCTATCTACCTATCTATCCATCTACCTACCTATCTACTCTATGCTCCATAATATGTGTCTATGTATATATGTATATGTATATATATGTATGTATATATATATATATAATACATATGAACATGCTGGAAGAGGCGGAAGGTCACCTACCATTCAATGAGGCTCTTCTCTGACTCTACGAGCTGAGCAGACGCCACCGACCTTCGTCTCAGCAAGATCGGAAAACCCAGGGAGCCGAAGACCCTGTCATGAAGGAATATCCGTTTAGGGGCTTAGGGTCCTTAGGGCGCCCCTCTATAATTTAAAAGACATCTTCCTTGATTAAATGGGCTGTGGGTTCTCTTGGGGGGGGGGGCCGGCAGCGACTCATGCCCGGTCTGCCAAAAGCCACAACCCACTGGCTTAGGTTTTGCATGTGATCCTCTCTAAACCCTAAACCCTAAACCCCTCCCGACCAAGCGAAGACCCCGAGTTCACGGAAAGGCAAGCATCGATAGCTCTGGCACCACCTTTGCATCGTAGGATTCCATCGATAAACTCTTCCCGAGTCACCTTCTCAGGCTTTTGGCTTCAAGCTTTAGGGCTTCTGGGGTCTTTTTTCCCTCCCACTTCGCAAGGACGAGCCCGCATTGCAGGCTGCTTATGGGGTTTAGGATTTAGGGCTGTTGGCTCAAAGGAGCTTAGGCTCTCACTCAGACAAGGTTCGCAGGGCGCTGATCGGCAATTAAAGAGCTTTGCGGGACCCGAGGCGTTGTCAGTCCAAGTTAGATCAACTCTAGAGTGCCCCGAAGACAGGGCGTAATGTAGGGGCCTTAATAATATTAGAATTCGGTTTTGGGGGGATTCCTTACTATAGTTACAGTATAATATACCCCAAACCCTATTCTAACTAATTATTAAGGCCCCGATAGTATAATGCATGCTGGTAGGGAGCTGAACCTGACTGAAGCCTAAAGCTACTTCTCAACCCCTACGGCGGTCTCACTCTCTGTGCATGGAAAGGGCGTCTGGCTCACGTTGCAGGCTCTTGCGACTTCCCTACACAGGCTGTGACACCAAGTGCCTCCCACCACTATGCCCAATAAAACGGCCCCGGTAGCTGACCCCACCTCGCCGTCACCTGGGCTGCGCATCAGGAATGTGGCTGCGCTGTAACGGCTCGCATGACTTTCAATTGCTGTGGCCCGGTGTTCTTCCCTGCAACCACTCGGCCACCACATCAAACTTGCAAATGGGGGTTTCCGATAATAGGGGACCCTAACATAGAACCCCAAATAGTAGGACCCTCAATATAAGGACCCCAAAATAAGGTAGCCCTTATCTTCGGAAACTCCCAAATCTTACAATGCCTGCAACGAGGCCCAAGTCCCGAAGTTCACCCCGAGAGTCGAGCCGCCGTTGTCCAAGATGTGGAACAAAGCTCGGCTCTCGTGCACATCCAGCTCGAGTGTCTGAAAATAGGCCGCAACCTCGCATTCTGCGACCCGAAGTTTGGGACTGGTTCTACAAGAGGCGTTGATGCTTATTTTGCTTATGTTCAAGTGAGGTATACACGCGGTTTAGGGCCGGGTTTAGGTGCTTATGGCATGTCTAGGACAAGGCTTAGGGTTTACAAGTTTAAGGTCTATGGCATGTGCAGGACCAAACAGAAACTCTTACAAGTTGACAAGCTTGTACACATATATATATATACACACATACATACATGTATACATACATGCATGCATGCATGCATACATACATACATATACATACAGCTAAATACATACATACATACACACACAGAGACACGCATACACACAGACAGACAGACAGACAGACAAACAGACAGACAGACAGACAGACAGGCAGGCAGGCAGGCAGGCCGACACAGACAGACAGACAGACAGACAGACAGACAAACAGACAGACAGACGTACATATGTACATATGTACATACGTACATACATACATACATAAATACATACATACATACATACATACATACATACATACATACATACACATGTACATATATACATATATACAAGGTGATAATTTTGATTTCATATGTATATATATATACACATACATAGAGAGGGAGAGAGAGAGAGAGAGAGATCTAGCTATGATCAGGGACATCACCCGTTGCGAGAATATCAGCATGCAGCATGACCATAGCAAAGCCCAAACCGTATAATACGTGCTAAACCCAGACCCAACAATGTTGTCGTACCTTTACTTAACCCGCAAAGCCTTACTGGGCTTCTCTTGCTTTGATCCGAAACTCCCAGCACTCACAAGCAGAGCCCGATAGAGCAGCTCGAGGTCGGAAGCATTCCGCCGTCCCAAACCGGTCACTCTAGGCGCTGCTGTAAGGGCGACAAAGGCCAGTGAAAAGGATCTTCTGGGAAGGGCAACTGTAAAGTTCTAGAAGGGTACTGTATGGGCTCCTATGTTGCTACCAGGGTGCTATAACTGAACAAACTGGCCTTTGAAAGCTTCGGATCAGAAGAGCCGGAAGAACTGGAACTAGGCTGTCTTTGGGGAGCAGGCAATTTGCATAGAGGATGCGAGAAGAAGCGTTCAGCCAAGGGTTGTTCGCGCTTGCTTTAGCTCTGTCCATCAACGTCATGATGCGGTGCTCTTCGTCCGGTGTTCAGCCCATGGCAACACTCCCTCCACATACTTGCAGGGCCATGAGATTTGCCAGGTAACTACCTTTATTCGGGTCAGCCTTTTGTAAGTAATTCACCGGTGCTCTCAAGCCACTGGTCCTTCAAGGGCCACACCCCAGATCCTAACACGTTTAGGGCTTTTAAGTTTAGGGCATCCTGAAACCCCAAGCACTGCGATGTTAAACCCCAAATCCTAAGCTCAACAAAGCAAGTGCCCGCCTTTGGATTGGAAAGAATCTCCGTCAGCCTCCAGAAAGGGCTCTTCAGTTGCCGTTAAACTCGAGAAATTCTACCGCAACGGTCATCCAATAGGATTTTTTGCCTTAGGCTCAGGGTGCTTGGGGTTTAGAGGTATCCGAAGTTGCGGAAACAGAACCTCGCCTCTCTTCTGAGATCATGCCATCGCCGCACTTGTCGATGGCTTGAAAAACTGCCTCCAACTTGCCGACATACTCGGCCTGAACGAGGAGGCTTCGATGCATAAGTTCGGGTTGAGGGCTTAGGGTTTTGGGGCAGCAAGCATGGATTTGGCTGTAGGAGCAAACCAGATTTAGTGGCAGATGGCGGCAGCATGCGAATTTCCAAAACATCTGGCATTGCAACGCCGAACCCTCTTCTCGATGTGGCTCGCCTAATGCAGAACACCCAGGCCACGCATCTTATACAAAAAGAAGCACATCAATCGACAAGTGACAAGTGCTGCTACGACTGAGGAGCCACGGGAAGTATCACAGCTGCCTTGCGCTCTTCGCAGCCTTTGTAGTACAGACAATTCCTCACAACAGTGATCATTCCCTAGGCCAGACCCAAACACCCCAAATCCTTGTAGAACCCTTACTGAAGAGCAGCACGCCCTAAACCCTAAACCCCTGAAGCCCTAAACCCGTACAACAGTATAGCAGCCCTTGCAGAATCCCGCTTATCAACCTAATGTCCTAATAACTAGAATAGGGTTTGGGGCTATGTTATACTATCTTATATTCAGGAGCCAAAGAAATAGCATTTATAATTATGTAGGCTCCTATACTAATCCTTTTCAGCACTCACAACCCTAAACCCTAAACCCTATATATATATATATATAGATAATTTAAGACAGTGCAAACGAGGAGACCTTCTTCCTCATCTTGTCCAGAATGAGGTTCTCGGCGTCGTTGTGGGCAGCGTCCAGGGTGTCTTTGAGAAAGATGGCCGTAATGACCTTTTCTGTTATAAAAATGTAAATATAAATAAACAAATGAACCAATAAATAAATGAATACACACACACACATATATATATATATATGTGTGTAGGTAGTTATGACCTTTTCTTGGCAGGTGAGGCTGCAAAGCTGTGGGGCCTGAAGGGGCGCAAGTTCAGGGTTTGCTCAGGTTTGGATGTAGATGTTAGGCCCAAAGGAGAGACCCTTAAAGGGACCGCTGGGGTTATAGAGGGGCTTTATGAGACTACATAAGGGGTATATTTAATATAAGGGTTATATAGGGCCTACTATTAGGCCCTAAGCCCCAGCTATGGGCCTCACCCCTATGAGTCGCGGGGTCGGAGGCGAGTAGAATCGCAACTAGGAAGCAGAACCGCAAGTAGGACTTCGGTCTTCGCCCTGGGTTTTTTTTCCACACGAAAGCCTAAAGGACCCTAAACCTGAAACCCCAAGCACC